AGAGTCCATCCAAAAATGAAATAGAAATATCACCTCAATATTAGGCGTCGATTCAAAAACGCTTTTTTTATACCACATAGGTGGCAAGCATTTGGCCCATCTGATGGTAAATGGTTACCGTAGCCTATGGACGCCTGAAACAACTGGGGTGTATGTGCGCGTTGCCGACCCTTAAGAAACCTTAATATACCCTCTACACTTCCGCTTGCTATGCCCAACAGGGTCCACAATTAACCTACTTTGAAATGTACCTGTCTATCTATCTACTGTAAAATTATGGAATGCAAAGCTTAAATAAATAAATAAAAAAACCCTTCCTGAAAAACCCCATGTTATATAGTCTCGTCAGAAAACGCTACCAGTCCATGTCTTAAACCGCACCAAGAGTCAAACTAGGGTACGCGTGGGCCAAAAAGATAGAATGTCGTAATCGTGAATCAAGTTTTTGGAGAAATACTTTAATGAGTTACTGAGTGGGCCGATTGGTACTGGATGCGAGAAATCACTGAGTACACAAGTCGGCGGATATCCGCTGGAGCTTGGGAATCACTTATACACCCTCTTAGATATATATATTCTTTATTACAGTTCTAAACATAAATATATACAGAGTCAGCGAGAGAGAGAGTGAGAGAAATATCTCTTGACTGGACCATTACATTGATAGGTTTTTATCTCCATCTCTCTTAAATGTATCCGTTCATTTAAGAGAGAAAACAAGAAAACGAAGCTATATCGCGTTGTAATTTTGTCTTAGCGCCATCTAGTAGCGAAGAAGAGAACTAAATTATTATTATTATTATGGTTTATTGTACAATGTGACTCAAAATGTAGCCCTTTTTTTTAATCTCAGGACAATTCACACAGCGCCATCTAGACCCAAGTTAAGCTAGCTAAAGCTTGTGTTATCGGTAATAGATAACTGATACAAATACATTGATAATTTTTTTCGTAAATACATACATATTATACATAGAAAACATCCATACCGATACAAACAGTCATACTCATGAATACAAATGTTTGTGCCGTGCGAGGAATCGAACCTGCGACCATCGGACGTAAAGCGGTGTGCTAGACCGCTAGACCACCGAGGTCGTCAGCCCTTAGGTTCCTAAAGTTTCGGGTTCTAGATTCCTACATGAAATTTGTGAATTTTATGCAATTTCCAACTTTTTAATATTACTATCTTATTTGTACTCTGCTTACCCTCAAAATAGCATATGAAGACCACATCACAGATAATCATAAACGTCGATCTTCATAACAACTGCACGGTGCACAGATAATAAAATTGTGATGAAGTAGGTAAAAAATGACTAGTCGTATTTATTTAGCGGCTAAAAATTTTACGAGCCCCCAGAGACTGAGGTAGGGTGACCCGATATTGAGCGTTATGGCGGACAGTCCAAGAACACAGGTTGAACTTTATAGACTGGCTTGCTTCGTCTGTTTTTGTGTTTATGAAAGAAATGATAGTGTGAATTCATACTAATTTATTTTTGATTCTGTTGTTTAAAAAAAATATTGTTTATATCTTAATATCAGATTTCATTAAGATAAGTTATATGGGAAATGAAATGGATATATGGAAAGATTTATGGGGGCCAAATTTCAGAATGATTATTTAAGACGGTAAGGTTTCAAAGCGTACAAGGCAAAAAACACCATATTTTCATATTCACAACATAAATTTTGACAAATTTGTGAATTAATTTTAAGTATATTTTCAAAAAAAATCTGCCGAATTGGTATAATAATAATTTTCATCGAAAACGGTCACTAAAAAACGTTCGAAAGTTACTTTATGTATAATAAAACAAAATCGCTGTCGCTGTCTTTCCGTCCCTATGTATGCTTAAATCTTTAAAACTATGCAACGGATTTTGAAGCGGTTTTTTTAACAGATAGAGTGATTCAAGAGGAAGATTTATATGTATAATACATGTACACGTGCGAAGCTGGGGTGGGTAGTTAGTTATTAATAAACGTTAAAATGTTGATTAGCATTTTCTAATAAATAGCGACGTACAAAAATGTTGAACTACCAACTAAAATACCTATTCATTTACCTAAATTTTGGGAATATAACCAAAAAAATATTTATATAGTACTACTAATTTAGTTAAAAAAAAATTCAATAACGTCAGATATTGCGGGACCATGTATTAAGTTGGCATTAAAGGTTGGTTATCCTACTCGAACATATTAAGTCAGTTTTACTACTGCCCCCAAGACCTAAGATCAATTTTATCTTCCAAATTAATACGTTTTTTTACGATCTTCAAAATTGCTATAATAATCACATCTCTATTTGATTTTGCGATAAAAATTATAACGTTATTTCATGTAGTCTAAACTAATATTAATATAGAAGAAAAACTTGTTTTCTTTGTAAAGATTGCTTTCAGCAATAAGACCGCCTTATTCTAACTATAATAATAATCTGAGGACAATTCATATTCACACAGCGCCATCTAGTCCCAAGCTTGTATTATTGGAACTAGATAACTGATACAAATACATAGATTTTTTTTTCGTATATACATAGAAAACATCCAGATCGATAAACGATCATACTTATGAATACAAATGTTCATGTGAGGAATGGAACCCGCGACCATCGAAAGTCAGGTGTGGTAAACCGCTGCACCACCGAGTTCGTAAATGTCATAAAAGTTTCAGACCATTACCATTATAACAAATTATTAAACAAAACCAGTGAATTAAACTTAATAACAATTGAATAAAAACCATAAAGTTTTAACGACGGCCTATATACCTACGGTCGTAAACTGAACTGTGACTTCGCTCGCAGTTTAGACCTAAACAAACAGTTATTAATGCAATATTTTTTATGACTTCACGGTAAAACAACCCCTTGTATAAAAGAAGGGATAATCGTTCCATTTACCGATTTAAAAAAAGGGAGATGTATCGCAATCCTATTGAATTTTTTTAGTGTATAATAACTATGACTGATTTCCTCTTATTTACTTGTTTAACCAGTTGGTTGTATATTTAGTATTTTTTCTATTTGAGTATTTAATTGAATTAGTGCTAATTGGTGGTTTGTATTCACACACTTAAACTTAAAAATGTAAAGTAATAATAAAATTATTTAAAAGAGCAACACGCAAGTTTCTTGCTTGTTCTTCTTGTCATATAAAGTGGGTTCACATAGAAAAATTACTAAAGTAATAGAAATAGAAATCATTTATTCATATAAACTTACATTGAAGCACTTTTGAATAGTCATCACATTTTTTTAATCTACCGCTCATTCGGAAAGCTGCCTCTTCACAAGAAGGTTTGGTTTTTCGGACTACTCTAATGCTGTTGGCCGCAGCTGGCCTTTACAGCTTCACCGAACGATAGGGGGCGAGTGCAGATAGTACTCCAAACCCGCGGAAGGACTTATGGATCGGCTGAAGGCCAACTCCCGCCTGACGGATACGACTTTAGTCTGAGGGCACTGCTAGGGGTTCAAACCTCGGCTCTGGCCGTCGTAATATCGATCCCCGTTTGAATTGGACGGGGGATCGATCGGAGGAGCTCTACCATTATTACACGTTTTTTTCGAATATAGAAAAGAAGTAAGAAAGACATACAGCCATTATTCCACCAATATACTCCATATTGGTGGAATAATGGCTGTATATCAATATTGATAACAACTAAATGTATATTGTTATATATACAACTATATGTAGATATTGTTGTTTTAGCAGGACAGGTTTCTTGCTTATAATAATGTAAATATATTTAAAATTATTAAAGAATTTTCTTTATTAAAATAAGAATAAATCTATATTTATAATGTTAATAGTGAATTTTAATTTACATATGTGTTTGTATTGTTTGACTGTCATGATCTACTGTAATAGATTCGATTCCTGCAATATGTAATAGTTGTTATAACGATGGTGTTCACATTTTTTCTATGGGGTAGCCCATATGGTGCTACTGTATTAAATACACAATTTTACCTGAATGATCAAATTAAAATTATCAAGTTATAAGTAGATTCGATTTCTACAATACATAAACATTTGAGAGTTCACATTGTTTGTATCAACTGGAGGTATTTTCTAGATCTATATAAGTTTTATTTGAACGAAAAAAAATTATCTATGTATTTGTATTTTCTAGGTAACACAAGTTAATATAATTCTCGTGTCAGTGTAATAAAACTATTATTATTATTATTAAATACATTTTACCTGAAACTTTGTGTTAATAATAATAATAATAATAATAATCTCAGGACAATTCACACAGCGCCATCTAGACCCAATTTAAGCTAGCTAAAGCTTGTGTTATGGGTCCTAGACAACGGATACAAATACGTAGATAATTTTTTTTTTCGTAAATACACACATACATATAATATATAGAAAATACCCAGACCGATACAAACAATCATACTCATGAATACAAATGTTTGTGCCGTGTAATAAAACTCGTAAACGGATTGACCGCTTCCACCGAGGTCGTCAATTTATAGTTATATTCAGTAGGTCTGAGAATATTTTTACTGCCATACATACATTAATACATTATAAGTGATAAAGGTAGTCCATCCAAAAAATATATTTACAAAATTTTTAATTTAATTTTCATATTATGGTTGATGATGATTTGGTCAAAAATACAGGGTTGTACCCTGACTTTTCGCCCTTCTCCCATCAACCCCTATTTTGTAATACCGATATAAATTTATATGACATAACGTTTCCCGGGTCAGTTGGTACATTCGTTTAAATTTTTACTTGACATATAATTAGATTTAATTAGTGTTGGATTACAATCCAGTTCTAAAATTTAATAAATTTAATTTAATTTAATTTTAAAATTAAATTATTTAAATCTAAATTTAATAAACTACAATTAAATCTTGTACTGATTTTAATCTGTTTTGTGTGCTAATAAATAAATAAATTTTAATCAATTAATATTTATTTAATATCTTAAAGTTAAAGTGTCTGTTTTCTTTCCAGATCCTTAACCAACGTCAAAATAGAGAGCAACACTTCCATTCACGGCTAATAAGAAAATGACAAAGTGTAACGTAACTCCGCGCGTAGTGTTAGTGACAAAGTGACTAGTGCGTAGTGTCGGATTTAGTGGAATATGTGCAGGTGATTAAAAACTGGAACTTTAATAAATTATGCAGTGTTCGGTTGTAGTTAAAAATAATAGTTATTTGTGCCAAAATGAGGAACGTCATCGCTGTATTGGGCGGTAAGTCGATATTTGTATTTTTAACAGATTTTTAAAACAACATATATTTATATGACCTGTATATGTACTTATTGTCAGATATATATATATAAGTATACGTATATATTATTTATTGTAATCACTTTTGAATACTTAGTCATATAGTATGTTTTTCATTCTAACACTCATTCAGAAAGCACGAGAACTTGCGTGTTGCTCTTTTAGATAAATTTTATTCAAAATTACATGTTTATTTTGTGTGAACATAAATTGCCTACTACTTACTTGAGTAACAAAATAAATCTTAATTATATTATAAACGCGAAAGTTTGTGAGTATGGTTTTTACTCTTTCACGCAAAAATTACTGAACGGATTTTGATGAAACTTTACAGTAATATAGATCAGAATAAAATATAAGCTATAATAATTGTAATTTATTTGCTCAAAAACATAGTACAAGAGATGATAATTAAAGCATAGTATCATATGTAATATAAGTTTCATTGAAATTAAACGCGGGTAAAACCGCGGGAACAGCTAGTCAGTCATAGTTATTAGCGCAGATAACTTTCCAAAAGACACTACCTAAGCTTACACTCTGTACGTATATATTCATCTACATTATATCCCGGATAGGAAATCCTTAGTTCGCCCTACCGAGAATGAACTCCCATCCCATTGGTGAGAAAATAAATACAAATCATAGGGAAAATGTTATTAATTAAGCTAAGCTTATAAATACTAATGTTGAGATGGATGTGTGGGGTAACCAGGACTGACAGAATAAGGAATGTGTATATACGAGGAAGTTTGAAAGTTGCGCCGGTTATAGAAAAGTTGTGAGGTAACATATTGAGCTGGTATGGGCATGTTATGCGGTGGAACGAGGACCATGTCTTATGGAAAGTGTATAATATGAATGTGGATGGATGTAAAGGGAGGGGACGCCCTAAGAAAAGATGGATGGATTGTGTGAAAGATGATATGAGTAAAACAAGAGTATGTTCAGATATGACGGCCGATAGAGAGCAGTGGAAGAGACTGTGCCGACCCCAAATAATGGACATGTTATGTGGAGGAGGAATGGCAAAATGAGTGGATGGATGGAAAGGAGAGGACGACCAAAAAAAAGATAGATGGATTGTGTTTATTTTTTTCTAACTACTCTAATGCTGTTGGCCACAGCTGGCCTTTACAGCTTCTTCGGACGTTAGGGGGCGAGTGCAGATGGCACTCCAAACCAAGGAAGGACTTATGGAGCGGCTGAAGGCCAACTCTTGCTTGACGAATACGACTTTAGTCTGAGGGCACCACTAGGGTTTCGAACCTCGGCTCAGGCCATCGTAATATTGATCCCCGTCAGAATTGGACGGGGGATCGATTGGAAGGGCGGATGGATTCTGTGAAAGATGACTCGAATAAAAGAAGAGTATGCTCAGATATGACCGATAGAGAGCAGTGGAAGAAAATGAGATACTGCGCCGACCCAAATAATAGGATAAAGGCAAGGCAATGAGTTATCAGAGGATAACCCACCAATATACACTACCTAAGCTTACACTCTGTACGTATATATTCATCTACATTATATCCCGGATAGGAAATCCTTAATTCGCCCTACCGAGAATGAACTCCCATCCCATTGGTGAGAGAATAAGTGTGAATTCCCCGTACATAAATGCCATAACAAATCATGGGGAAAAAGTTATTAATTAAGCTAAGCTTATTAACGGTTCCGTATACCTCCGGCCCGTAATAAAGGTAGTAATAGTCGATACAATAAATCACACCCAGTGTACCCAAAATAAAACGCCCGAGAAACCTTCCTACAAAATTATTTTAATATTCTCAGGTACTGACAGAGATCCATGTTGAATGGAAGTGGTCGTAACCCTTACTAATATTATAAATGCGAAAGTAACTCTGTCTGTCTGTCTGTCTGTTGCGTTTTTACGCCAAAACTACAGATATAAATGCGAAAATAACTATCTTTTGTGCTTTTACGCCAAAACTACTGAACCGATTTAAATGAAATTTGGTATATAGTTAATTTTAATGCTAAAAAAAGGTTGTAAAGGGTTGAAAGGGGAGTTGAAATTTGAAAATGTTTTTTAAGCTGTTGATTAAATTTACTAAATCTGACATTCAAGTTAGTAGATATGTTTTTCCTTAAGGGGGTTTTACCTAAAGGGATGAAAGTTTGTATGGAAATTTGCATTTTTGAGTTTTTATACTATTTTATGCTATGCAAGGTCACTATTCCACGCGGACGCAATCGTGAGCATAGCTAGTATATAATATGAATAAATAAATAACCCTGGACAATTAACGCACCGCCATCTAGACCCAAGTTAAGCTAGCTAAAGCTTGTGTTATGGGTACTAGATAACTGATAATAATAATAATCTCAGGACAACATATTCACACAGCGCCATCTAGACCGATAAAAACAATTAAGAAGCTAAAGCTTGTGTTATGGGTCAATGGCAAACCATCCGAAGTAAAGCAGTGTCTTAAACCGCTAGACCACCGAGTCAACATCGTAACTATATAGTCGTGAACTCCACTTAAATTATGAATGAAATGTAAACAAGTAATTCCAATATATTGATGACAACAATCTGCTCACATGACAACGTCAGAATATCATTAACCAACTTGTTATCAATAAGTCTTCTGTAACTAACATACAGACAAGATTTCAATATAGATAGTAATTAAATTCACGCCTCGTTGGATGTATATTACAGTTTTGGTACAAAGGAAAGTTCTCCTTGATTTAATGAGTGTGTAGAACATACGTACTCTGTGGTGTAGTGGTTTAGCAGACCGCCTTATGTTCCGATGGTCGCGGATTCGATTCCTAGCACGGTACAAACCTTCATTCTTTCATTCATTATGTATGTATTTACAAAAAAAAGTATGTAAGTATTTGTTATCACTTCTCTAGTGCCCATAACATAAGATTTGCTTACCGTGGGAATAGAAGCCGCTGTTAATTGCTCGGAGTTATTTATTTTAAAAAAAATTGTATTTATACCAATTGTTTAGTATCCATAACACAGGCTCTCAGCTAAGCTTGGGACTAGATGGCACTGTGTAGATTGTCTAGAGTCCTCATTATTCTATGTATATATATACATAGAAAACACCCAAACCAATACAAACAATCCTTCTCATAATTAGAAATGTACCCTACTTAGAATCGAACCCACGACCATCTTAAGTAAAGCGGTGTGCTAAACCCGCATATACTCATGAATGAATGTCTGTACCGTGCGAGGAATTGAACCTGCGACCATAGTGATTAAAGCTAAACCGCTAGACCACTGAGGCCGTCTATAATATTTAAAATATTAATAGAAAAAATATAATGTCAAAACTTGACGTTCATAAGCGGCTAAAATGTCCTACATGAATAAATGATTTTTTGAATTTGAATTTGAATTTATTACTTTTTTTTTTCGGACTACTCTAATGCTGTTGGCCGTAGCTGTCCTTTACAGCTTCACCGGACGTTAGGAGGCGAGTGCAGATGGCACTCCAAACCCGCGGAAGGACTTATGGAGCGGCTGAAGGCCGACTCCTGCCTGACGGATACGACTTTAGTCTGAGGACACCACTAGGGGTTCGAACCTCGGCTCAGGCCGTCGTAATTTCGATCCTTGTTTGTATTGTACGGGGATCGATCGGAGGGTAATTTATTACTACACACTTTCTACATGAATAAAGATATTTTGAATCGAATTGAGTTGTTTATAATATTAGCATTGATCCTTATTTCTAGACTAGACTCTTCCAGCGTCTTTATCCACGTTTAAAGCTTATCATCCCTAAAATATAGTACGTCCTGATAACTCTAAGGTCGGATCCAATTTTAATTATGGGACTTAATTTCTGAACCCTTTTGCAAATCAAACAAATATTTCTCTTTGAGTTTGTGTAGTTAAAGGTATTCCTAATTTCATGTTCCACTGAATAGTCGGGGATTACGCGGTGGGTTGACTGAAATATATGGAATAGGCTTTGAAGGAGCATTACGTAATTAGTGCGTTGTGGCCTGCAGGGTTACTCCAATTAGTCTCTGTAGTTAGTTAGTTCGAATCTGGTAAAATAGAAAAAATTATGAACAATTTTCTGTGACTAATTTATTTGTATTACTAGCTACTCGCTTCGGTTTTGCAAGGGTGTACATGTAATATATATATAAATATATATATATATATATATATATATATATATATGTATATATATAAAGCTGTAAAGGCATTCCCAAGAAAGGATAAAATAGGGGATGAAAGTTTGTATATTCAACCCCCATCGGGATAAAATAAGGGATGATGCAGGATGTAAACGAATTAGTTTGAACCTATCAGTACCTAATGGAACGAATAAATTAAGACGAGCAAAATGATTTTTAGTTCTTTAGCCTACTTTTATTTTAGAAAAATAAAGTTAAATTCCACGCGGACGAAGTCGCGGGAACAGCTAGTAAAGAAATAAATAGGTATAGGAAAATTCTATATACCCACCCCCTTTGTAATACAATATGTAGGTTGTACGATGTATTTATTATTGCAACAAAAAGATTGGCATCCTATAATCCTTTGTTCCAAACAGAAAACAGTACCATTGCTACAGTTCATAATCTCACCGGATTTGTATTATAACATATTTTATTGTCAAAAGTGACCGTTTAAATGACTATGTCACAGTTTTGCAATTATAAAGTGACAATGATATAAAAAAACAATATAACTTTTGTTTTTTATACAATACAGTTATCATCTGATGTGTCATTGTATTTTTTATACAATTGTAATTAGTGATGGTAAGTGGTAGGTTGTACATGAACAGTACCATGTACATCATACGATGCCCGTAGTACAACATAATTATAATATCCCTGAAGAATTCACACAGCGCTATCTAGTCCGAAGGTAACCAGAGATTGCTTTATGAATATTAGACTACTGATGAAAATATTTTTTTTTTATAATAATATACATAATAATAAAA